GTTGAGATGGCCATTGAAAACTCTATTAAATATCTTCCTCAGGAGCTGGTCTTTGGTGAGATCTCCCAGGAGAAACCATTTCTGGACCCGTCTTCAGGTAAAGAAAGATTCTTCTGATACAACAGTCCTGAAGAGTCTGTACTGAGCTTGTTTTTCCAAGAATACAGGTAGTCTCCGACTTACAACAGTTCATTTAGCAACCGTTCGAAGTTACATCACTGAAAAAAGATGACTTACGACTGTTTTTCACATTTACGGCCGTTGCAGCATCCCCAGGGTCGCATGAACAGAATTTGGATGCTTGGCAACTGACTCATCTTTATCATGGTCGTAGTGTCCCCGTGGTCATGTGATCCCCTTTTGCGACCTTCTGACAAGCAAAATCAATGGCGGGAGGCAGATTCACTTTGCAGCCGTGTTACTAGCTTGACAGCTGCAGCAATTCACTTAACAGCTGTGACAAAGAAAGGTCGTAAAATGGGGAAGAGCTCACTTAACAAATGTCTCACTCAGCAACGGAAATTTTGGGCACAATTGTCATAAGTCAGAGTGTTTGCAACGTGATTACTATTGTGAGACAATCCAGGAGCACAACACAGCACAGAGAGGCTTTGTCTTTTAATAGTGGTTTATATACAAGACAGCTGTATACATACATATACATGGTAGGAAATACCTGGCAAGCAATCAGTCTTTTTTACTCTGCACGGAGAACCAAAATGGAGAGAGAACACAAGGAGGGAGAGATACGCCCTCTTATGGCCTCACATATATATAGACAGCTTCTTAAAGTGGCAAAACCCTGTGGGACCCATCCTCGGTCTTAAAGCGGCAATAACCATGCAGATTCATCCTCATAGCATCAGCCTTACCACAGCTGGTCAGCTATTAAATCTCAATACCTTGACATTGTTTTTAGAAATAATGAAGTTGCTGAGCATATTCAACACACCTTCCTCCTCCTATTTTCCCTACAACAAAACCCTGTGAGGTGGGTTGGGGTGAGAGAGAGTAATGAACCCGAAGTCACCCAGCTGGCTTTCATGGCTAAGCCAGGACTAGAATTCACGGTTTCTAACCTGGCACCTTAACCACTCAAATCAGACAGATTTTGTGATAGATGTTTTGAAAACACGTAAATTACTCTTTGTAATCTCTTTCTCAGCAAATGGAACAGCAGTGATGCTACCTGTGGAAACTTCTCTTCTCTGTGGTGGAACAGAAGCAGTGGTTGTCCTTCCCACTCAGGTAGGAGTAAGATCTCCAAATACCGATGTGATTTCTTCATAATGAATCCTACTCCATTCCTCCCAGTGCCCTCTCGAGGGGTGGGCTGCTGGGGGTTCGCAGGGGTTCGGGAGAGCCCCAAGCTAAGACTTTATGCCCTATGGCACGCATGCTGAAAGTGTCATGCAGAGCCACTTCTGCCAGCATGCGAGAAGTCGCTCGGAAGAGCCCCACTCCACATGCGCGCGCGCCCCCACCAGCCAGCTGATTGTTGGGTATCTGCCACGCATGCGCAGAGGTATGCAGCGTGCAGGAGGGTCGCACGCACATGCGCAGAGGTTCATGGTGCTCGCACAGGAGGGGCGTGTGTGCATGCGCAGGGAGCAGGGGAAGCCGCACACGCATTGATTCATGGGTGCAGGCATGCGTATGTGCATGCGCATGCACTTTTGGCATGCAACATGGAAAAGGTTCGCCATCACGGCTCTATGCGGTTTGGAGAACCCCAAAATCTCACTCCTGGCTGGCCCTGCCCACCCCGCCCTTCCCTCCCCAGGAGTCCCCATGTGGATGCAGGTAAGTGCAGGGTGCGCACGGAGCCTCGGGTAGGGTGAAAAACAGGCCTCCCAGAAGTTCTGGAAGGCCAGAAATGGGCCTGTTTCTGGCTCCCAGAGAGCCTCTGGTGCCCGGAGGAAGCCATTTTCGCCCCCATGGAGGCTCAAGGAAAGCCTCTGGAGCCCAGGGAGAGAAAAATGCTCCCCTCCATCGTAGTGCAGGAGGCCGACTAGGCCACACACCCACCATGGCCACTCCCACCCAGCAACCGGGCAGAGAATGTTTTGCTAAATTTTTTGAAGACCACCCCTGGCCATCTTCTTTATTTTATTAGTTCCCTCTAGCTTGCTTTTTGGATCATGAGAAGCTTCCGGTATTCTGATGGGAACTCTGCAGATGTTATGTCATCTGCAGAGTTACGGCGCTCATGTTGTTATTTGGAAGATGTCTTTCAACAACTTTGTGTAGGTGTTCAGTGGAGTTTGTTGATTAGTTCCCTTGGCCAAACGGAGCTCTCTGACCAATTCATTGAAGAAGCTACTTTCTAGATCAAGGGTGCCCAACCCATCACTCCATGGGCCGGCACCAGGCTGCAGCATACTGGCAACCGGGCCATGCAACTAAGCGAAGTCTCGTACGTGGGATGCAGGAAGCACTGTTGTGGTTCGCTGGCAGCCGGGGCAGCCGGCAGCAGAATCGGACAGTGGGGAAGAACGGGGACCAGTCAGGGAGTCTGGAGAGGACGTGGACAAGTGTCCTGCGTCCGATGCAGAGATGGGGCCAGGATCATCTGGGAGTGGAGTGTAGCCTTCAGAGTCTGGCAGCAGCGAGGCAGAGAGGACCCAGGGGAGCCTGTTCCCAGTGTGCATGTGCACAGAGCTGCTAGAAGGCGAGAGCAGCTGAAACAAAAGGGGCAACTCAGGAGTAAGGCTGGGAGGTGATTGCCCCTCCCATAAGTTATAAAGGTCAGGCCAAGAAGACGAAAACTTTGCAGGAAGCAAAGTCGTTTGCTCGGTTCAAAGTCATTCTTGAAACTCTTTGTACTTTGGTTGTTGTTGTTTTTTTGTACTTTGATTGGTTTCTTTTCTAGTTCATTTGATACTTCTGTTTTTGGCAGCCCTTCATAGAACTTATCTATGAAGGTGCTTATCTCGGAGGACTGTTTGAGATTAACTCCGTCTGGGAATGAAAGCAATTGTTGCAATAAAATAAGTCTTGTTTTTAAAAGAACTATGTGCTTAATTATGGTTTAGGAAGCTTAAGTCAGAACAAGCACACGAAATCATGCCGCCTCTGGTCCACAGAAAAAACTTTCTCCACGGAGCCCGTCCCTGGTGCCCAAAAGGTTGTGGGCCACCGTTGTAGATACAGAAGAGTCCTGATCCAAAGGTCTTGCCATCAGTTGATTCCTAAGCAATGCAGCCACAAAACGGGTTTGAAGGTTCTGCAGAATCATTGGTGTGGGTTGTTGTCATTCTTCCATTAAGAAAGACAACTTGTAATATTCCTGAAACAATGAATTAATTGGGAACATTTTCTTTCTCTGTTAGGAAGCCGTAACCTTTGACGATGTAGCTGTGCTTTTCTCTGAGGGGGAATGGGCTCTGCTGAATTTCAGCCAAAAATCTCTATACAAGGAAGTGATGCTGGAAAATGCAAGCAATGTGGTCGCCTTAGGTAAGGAATTGACTTTCCTCTGGGCTCACATAGGATTGGAACAGATTACAGCACGTAGATTTAAAACCAGAGATATTTTTATTGGGGATTTTACCTGAAGGTTACAATAAAAAAATAACATATCTGATTATTAGTGTTCTAACTGCAGCCAGAATTGTATTTGCTCAAAATTGGAAAAATGAGAAAATTCCAGCGGAGGAGGAAGCGATTAAGAAAATAATGGAATGTGTAGAAATAAGTAGATTAACATTAGCAATTAGAGAGCAAGAAGAAGAAAAATATTTTAAGATATGGGATTTATTTTACCAATGGTTAGATAGAAAAGTAAGAAATTGAAGCACAATGTAACAGTAATGATATATTATAATTATTAATAATTATTTTTTATAATTATCATAATTATATAATAATTATTTTTGAAGAAGCTATATTATGAATACAATCCAGTAAGAATTGAGATTTGCTCTTGGAATTGAAATTAAAATTTTAATGATAGTATAATAATGATATAGTATGATATGGAAAGTTGATTAATACAATATGAATATAAAGTTAAGAGGAAAAGATTACAGATATTGTGCACATGATATATGTACCAAACCGACGCTGTACAATTGAAAGAAGGTTTTATTTGTTGTTTTGTATGTTATAAAAAATAAAAAAACTTTTTAAACACACACCCACACCCAAAAGGAACATATTATATACTCAAAAGTAACCAGCAGATATATTTATTAAAGGAAATTCCCATTTAATATTTTTCTCTCTATGGAAGAGGAAAGTATTCATACGTTTATTGCTTGTGAAGGTAAAGGTTCCCCTTGGACATACATGCTAATTGTTTCTGGCTCTAGGGGGTGGTGCTCATCTCCATTACAAAGCTGAAGAGCCAGCGCTGTCCAAAGACGTCTCCGTGGTCATTTGGCCGGCATGACTAAATGATGCATGGAACGCTGTTTGCTTCCCACCAAAGTAGTCCCTATTTTTCTACTTGCATTTTTTACATGCTTTTGAACTGCTAGGTTGGCAGAAGCTGGGACAAGTAAGGGGAGCTCACATCATTACGTGGTGCTAGGGACTCGAACTGCCGACCTTTCTGATCGACAAGCTCAGCATCTTAGCCACTGAGCCAATTGCGTCCCCAGTTATTATTTCTTGTAGGAAGAGCTAAAACCTTCATTCCATTTCTATAGAGATATCGTACATTTGTATCTTAACCGTGAAATTTTTTCTTCTTTCATTTTGTTTCCAGCAGGTGATGGACAACAGACTGAGAGTTACACAAAGCAACCTTCAAAATCAGTGGAAACTGAAATCAGGAGAAAGATATTTGGAAATCTGTGGGGACCACAAAGGCCCAAGGAAACCCAGTTAAACAGAGACATGGAAAAATCTCTCCTCTCACCGCATGCGTGCGAGGACGACGATAAAAAGTATAGTTCGAACCTTCCTCTTACTTTACACCAGGATTTTGAGCTTAGAGAGAAAAGACATGAATGCACCGAGTGTGGGAAAAGCTTCAGCAAGAACAGCAATCTGAACGCTCATAAAAGGACCCACACGGTAGAAAAACCGTATCAGTGCACAGAATGTGGGAAAAGCTTCCGCAGGAATAATAATCTTACCTCCCACAAAAGGATCCATTCTGGGGAGAAACCGTATCAATGCACGGAGTGCGGGAAGAGCTTTCGCAAAAACAGTCACCTCACATCTCATAAAACCATCCACACTGGGCTGAAGCCATATAAGTGCGCGGAGTGTGGAAAGAGCTTCAGCATGAACAGTTACCTTACTTCCCATAAAAGGATCCACACTGGGGAAAAACCCTACCAATGCATGGAGTGCGGGAAAAGCTTCAACGGCTTGACTTCCTTTACCACACATAAAAGGCTCCACTCGGGCGAAAAACCGTACAAATGCACAGAGTGTGGAAAGAGTTGCAACACCAGCAGCGATCTTACTTACCACAAAAGGATCCATTCCGGGGAGAAGCCGTACAAATGCCCGGAGTGTGGAAAAACCTTCCGTATTAGCTCATCCCTTACTTGCCATAGAAGGATCCATACAGGGGAGAAACCATATCAGTGTCCGGAATGTGGAAAGCGCTTCATAATGAGTTCTTCCCTTACGTGCCACAGAAGGACCCACACAGGGGAGAAACCATACAAATGTTCAGAGTGTGGAAAAAGTTTCAGTCAGAATGGTCACCTTACTTCTCATAAGAGGATTCACGCAGGGGAAAAAGTCCCGTAGCGAAAGGTCTTCTGTTACTCCGATTCCCTTACGCTCAATCAAGAGATGCATTATGTGTGGGAAACAGAATCAGTTTCCCTTCTTATAAAAGATCAGTATGGGGCGGTGGTGTGTTTCAAAAAAAAAATTCCTACCAGTTCGAAGCTTGCTTCATGTGCACGCTTCACGGGGGCATGCGCCAATCATGCACTTTGCACGTGCATGCACAATGATCAAACAAGAAAAAAAACCTGCCTCTGCCTCCCAGCAATTTGCCTCCTTGCAGCAAACAACAACCTGTTTCAGTTTCAGCACAGCCTGACTAGCACAAACAGCTGATTGTTGGTTGGATCTGCCTCCCGGCAATCAGCTGTTTCAGGCTGCAGGGATTGCTACATCCTATTGCCGCCTCTGCATGCCCCATTTTTGGGAGGCAGGGATCGGAACGGGCCAAAACTGGGGCGCGTTGAGGCCAAAAATGGGATGCAATGAGGTGGCAAAAAAAATGGGATTGCGCAGAGGCGGCAATAGGCGATGGCAATCCCTGAAACAGCTGATCGCCGGGAGGCTGATCCAGCCAACAATCAGCTGCTTGTACTGAAATTGAAACTGAAACTGGCTGTTTGCTGCAAGGAGAAAAGTTGCTGGGAGGCAGAGGCCAAAGGGTGGGGGCCGTTGGGTGGGTGGGGCAGTCCAAATTTTCCCTACCAGTTCACCGAACCAGTCAAAACTTTCCCTACCAGTCTGCAAGGACTGGTCAGAACTGGCTAAATACCATCCCTGGTATGGGGGAACCCCCATAGATCTTCTTGTCTATGGAGATTCTTAGTCATCTAGGTTATGGTTGTACCGAAGGTGCTTTTTTTCCAGAGGCAACCGGACTTTCTGTTTTTTCTTTGACGGCGTTTCACTTCTCAGAGTTGGATGTTTCTCTGTGTCATCAGATTGACCTGAGTAGTGCCAATAGGTGAGGAGCTTTCTTGGAAACGCTGAAAGGACTGTGTTGTAGCAACATAGACAAACCTCTAAGTGGCCTCAATGACTCTTTAAAAGGATACAAATGACCAGCTGTCTGCAAAGAGCATAAATCTTTACATTCCCCTCCATCCAGTCTGGACACAAAGCTGGAAAAAAAATGGTTACTGTTCGGTACCTACATGACGGTTGCATTGGATTAGGAAATAAATTGTTTTATTGCTGATCATAGTTCAATATGTATTACATTCTATTGTTTCGTGCACACCTGTAAGTGGCTATGAAATAAAAATAGATATTCGTGCCAGCCGATTCAAGTCTTACGGATTTGTGCAAGATGCTAAGCCAAATAGCTATATATTACGAAGGTTTGTGTAGATTCAGCCACACTGTCAACTAAAAAATACTTCTTTGGTCTTTTTAGTTGCCAGTAGAAAGGGAGTGGGGGGGAAAGCAGTGCATTCCTTAAATGCCTCAGATAATTGCCTTGGCAGCCCAAAGCTATAGGCATGCAAGAATATTACTAGAGAGCATGATTGATGACTCTTGGCTATGGAAGTGTCCCATTGGAGAATATACATCCAGGGAGTGGGAGGAAGACCAGGGTCAAGAATGAAATGAATGATGTGTCTTAGAGCTGCACCCAGCTAATGCCGACTTGGTCACTCCTAATAATTCATTTTTTTCCTCTGAGAGGTGCGGCTAGAGACTTACGATTGAATGGAGGTAGATTTGTTGGAGCCCTGACACGCACACACTGTTCAAGTATTGCAGCGTAAATTCAGTGCCAGAAAAGTAAGCACAGATGGCTGAGGCTTCATTTAACTTCTTTAGAAACATATAAAGTAAATTTTACAATGCCAAGTTGTAGATTTCTCCAAGCTCCCAAGAACAGAAGCAAATATGTTACAGGTTCCAAGCAGAGCAGCAACTCAACTTCAGCTCAGAAAGAGACATCAGTTTCACTTTAGTTCAGCAGGCAAGCAAGACACAACAGAGGAGAGAAGCAGTTTCATTTTCAATAGACAGACTCAGAGTTTTAACACAGCTTCAGAGCTACAGAGCTTAATATAGAGCTGGGGTGGGCAAACTACGGCCTGCAGGCTGCATCCGGCCCGTTGGTCTGTCCAATCCAGCCCGCCCCTGAAAAAAAATCACTGGGCGTGGCGTATGGCCCTGCGCCGCGTGGCCCCCAAAGCTGCAAAATGGTGCGGAGCGCTCTCGGGGTAGGAAAGAAAGGAAGAACTTTGCAAAGGCCTCGGCTGGGAGTTCAAAATCACCTTTGAGTGCGATCTCCGATGGTGAGTCCCCGCCGATCCCCCTTTTTATTCCGGGGATTCCAGGCTTAAACTTTGCAAAGGCAAAGTTTGCAGGCGGGAGCGTCTTCCCGCCGAGGAGCGGGAAGGGTTCCACCTGGCGGGCGGGCTGGTTGGAGGAGGCAACCTGGCAGCACTCCGGGCTTCCCCTCCGCCGTGCGGCTCGGGGCCAGGCGCGAGCACCTGCGAGTTGAAAGAAAGCCGAAAGTTGTCGGGAAGTTACTCGGGTTTCCAGAGCTTCCAGGCTTAAACTTTGCACAGGCAAAGTTTGCAGGCGGGAGCCTCTTCCTGCCGAGGAGCGGGAAGGGTTCTGCCCAGTGGGTGGGCGGGCTGCTTGGAGCGGGCTGCTTGGAGCCACCTAAAGCTAGGCTGCTTCTGGTGGAGCCTTGCCCTGCCTTGGTGCCCCGTTTCCCGGCTCGGTGGTCCTGCTCGGGCGGCACTTTAAAAGCCCTCCTCCTCGTGTATGTGCCCGACGAGCCGCTCACCATGATGGCGGCTCCCAGCACCCGACCAACTTTCCAGCAACTTGCGGCGTCCTTTTTCCTCGCGGGCGCTCGCGCCAGGCCCCAAGCCGCACCGTGGAGTGGAAGCCCGGAGTGCTGCCAGGTTGCCTCTTCCAACCAGCCCGCCCGCCTGCCCGCTGGGTGGAACCCTTCCCGCTCCTCAGCAGGAAGATGCTCCCGCCTGCAAACTTTGCCTGTGCAAAGTTTAAGCCTGGAAGCCCCAGAAACACAAGCAACTTCCCAGCAACTTGCGGCTTCCTTTTTCCTCGTGGGCACTCGCACCTGGCCCCGAGCCGCGTGGCAGAGGGGAAGCCCGGCGGGCGGGCGGGCTGCTTGGAGGAGGCGACACGGCAGCGCTCCGGGCTTCTCCTCCGCCGTGCGGCTCGGGGCCAGGCGCGAGCACCTGTGAGTTGAAAGGAAGCCGAAAGTTGCCAGTAAGTTGCTCGGGTTTCCAGGCTTAAACTTTGGACAGGCAAAGTTTGCAGGTGGGAGCGTCTTCCCGCTGAGGAGCGGGAAGGGTTCCATCCGACGGACGGGCGGGCTGCTTGGAGGAGGCGACCCGGCAGCGCTCTGGGCTTCCCCTCTGCCGCATGGCTCGGAGCCAGGTGTGAGCGCCCAAGAGGAAAAAGCAAGCCACAAGTTGCTGGGAAGTTGGTCGGGTGCTGGGAGCCACCGTCGTGGTGAGCAGCTTGTCGGGCGCATACGTGAGGAGGAGGGCTTTTAAAGTGCCGCCCGAGCAGGACCGCCGAGCCGGGAAACGGAGCACCAAGGCAGGGCAAGGCTCCACCAGCAGCAGCCTAGCTTTAGGTGGGCTTGGATGCCCCTGAGCGCGGTTTGCTGTTTGTTGTCTCCTGGGACTCGCGTTTGGAAAGCGTGGAAAGTAGTAGCAGGAGCAGCCGCAGTGTTATTTTTTCTCTTTATATAATATATATTATATATATATAATATATATTATAAAGGGCCCATTATAAAATGCAGCAAATTATATATAAGAATATTATATATATATATATATATATAGTTTTCTGAGATTCTCGCGGGTATTTGTATGTGGATCTTTGGTTGTTCGGGTTTTCTCCCGCGTAAGATTCAAAGTATCTAGGCAACGTTTTGATGAAGTCTCATTCATCATCTTCAGGCTTCTGTCTTCGGCTCTTGCTTCTCAGAGTGATGTGAGATTGCAGCTGCTTCTTCCTTTTAACTGCTAGTGGGGGTGGGACTTGATTGGGTGGGGGCTTGGCTGTGTTCTGATTGGGTGGGGGTGTTTCTGGCGGAGTTTGGGGGAGAGAAAGAAAGACTTCTGCTGCTTCTGCTGCTTTCCTTGCATGAAGCCAAAAGTCTCTCTCTCTCCCTCCTGTGAGAATGGAGCTGGAGATGGTATCCTGCAATCCCAAATAAAGAACGATCGATCGAAAAACGGGGTGTGGAATTTTCCTGCAGACTTTTGGGGGCGGGGTCCCAGGTTCTCTGGTCAATCGGATTTAAAATTATGTGTTTGGTGGTCCCTGAGGTCCAATAGATTGGTGACCCCTGCTCTATAGGATCATAAGACCATGGAATTGGAAAGGATCAACAAAGTTGACCTTGTCCCAACCCGTGAATGTGCAGGATAACCAATCCCCAAGAAGTGGCTATCCAGCCTCTTCTCAAAAACCTCCTGAGACAAACAACAGACAACTTATGGAACTAACAATTAGGAAGTTTTTCCTTATTTTTTAACATCTAGGGCAGTGATGGCTAACCTATGACACGCGTGTCACTCGTGACACGCCGAGGCACTTTGACTGACACGCCTGTTGGTGTGGGGAAAACCTGCACATTTAGAGGCTGCCTGTGTTCTGCTCCAATCCCTGCTCCCTGCTTGTTGCGTGGAGGCGTGGTGTCACCGCTGCCGCAAGATCTTTGCAGCAGAGAACCAGTTTTAACCGCCATAAACTGAGGTTTGTCAGTTTCATTACCTCAGGAACGCTACAGGAGGAAAGGAAATCCATGAGGTTCACAGCCTTGTAAGGTGGCCTTCCGATCCCCACATCCTGCACCTGCAGCCCTGAGACCAGGGAGATGAGTTTCACAGCCCTGTATGATCACCCCAGCCCAGTCCGTCATAAATCAAATTATTGATATTTCTTGAAGTGACACACAACCCGAGAAAGGCTACACTTTTTCCTGATTTTTGACACACCAAGCTGAAAAGGTTAGCCATCACTGATCTAGGGCCTAGATGTTAAAGAATAAGGAAAAACTTCCTAATGGTTAGATCCATAAGTTGCCTGTTGTTTGTCTCAGAAATTAGGACTAAAAATAGGTTTTAAATTGCAATTGCCTAGATTCTAGGCAATTAC